GGCAGTCCAGAGGTAAACCTTCCCATCTCCCTCTCTCCCCTCATGCTAGAGGCAGTCCAGAGGTAAACCTTCCCATCTCCCTCTCTCCCCTCATGTTAGAGGCAGTGCCAGACGTAAACCTTCCCATCTCCCCTCTCCTCCCTCATGCTAGAGGCAGTCCAGAGGTAAACCTTCCCATCTCTCTCTGTCTCCCTCATGCTAGAGGGCAGTCCAGAGGTAAACCTTCCCATCTCCTCCTCATTGCTAAGGAGGCAGTCCAGAGGTAAACCTTCCCATCTCCCCTCATGCTAGAGGCAGTCCAGAGGTAAACCTTCCCATCTCCCTCTCTCCCCTCAATGCTAGAGGCCAGTCCAGAGGTAAACCTTCCATCTGCCCTCTCTCCCCTTCATGCTGGAGGCAGTCCAGAGGTAAACCTTCCCATCTCCCTCTCCTCCCCTCATGCTAGAGGCAGTCCAGAGTAAACCTTCCATCTCCTCTCTCTCCCCTCATGTTAGAGGGCAGTCCAGACGTAAAACCTTCCCGATCTCCCTCTCTCCCCTCATGCTAGAGGCAGTCCAGAGGTAACTTCCCATCTCCCTCTCTCCTCATGTCTGGAGGCAGTCAGAGGTAAACCCTCCATCTCGATCAAATCGTATGGGAATTTTTTCGGTAAAGATCTATTCAGGATAGAGAAGTGAGATCATGTCAGTAAGTTGGATGAATTTGTTTAAGAGTTAGAGACGTCTGCATGAGTCATCTCATGTGCTGAGTCAGAGTTAACAGCCGGACGTGCGTCCACTTCTCATACTTTTACTGGTGGTTTCATCGTGGATCCTTGATAGAGTTGATAAAAATGTTGAATTTCATTCACATAGTAGAACGCAATATGTTATCATACGAATATTACTAAATCACTGCTACATTAATATAATTATATGTTATCTGTTACCATTACCAATATCAATACTTATCAATATATAATTAATTATCAATAATAATATAATTATATAACTGGTATACATCGGCCATCACTCGTAACACGCGCGGCCTGGATGATCGTGCGCGCGCAACGCCGGCCGTCACATATATATCTCGACTCTCGCTCGACCGTCTGGTACCGTGTCTTCACCCTCGCGTCTCGTCTGCTGTAGTTACGTGGAGGCGGTTTACCCGGCAACGGCATAACGCTGCATCCCGCCAGCGCTGCTTGATCAGATCCACGATCGCTGCTGCGACAGCGTGCGCGTCCCCCGCAGAACGCGCCAGCAGGCAGCCAGCGAGGCGCAGGAGGAGGGAGGAGGAGGGGAGGAGGAGGAGGAGGAGGGAGGGCGGGGAGGAGAAGGAAGGGGAGGTCGCGGAGGAGGTGCGGACATCTGTCATGCAAACATTCGTCTCCCTATCACAGGTGATCACGCGTGTCATAGTGCTACTGACAATGCCATAGTGTCGATGATACGTGATTATAAATATCTGTAATATTATTCAGCTACTGACAATGCCATAATGGATCATACATGATTATAAAATATCTGTAATATTATTCAGCTACTGAACAATGCCCATAATGGATCATACATGATTATAAATATCTGTAATATTATTCAGCTACTGATCAATGCCATAATGGATCATACATGATGTTAAATATCTGTAATATTATTCCAGCTACTGAACAATGCCATAATGGTCATACATGATATAAATATCTGTATTATATTCAGTACTGGACAATGCCATCATGGATCATACATGATTATAAATATCTGTATATTATTCAGCTACTGACAATGCCATTAATGGATCATTACATTGATTATAAATATCTGTATTATTATTCAGCTACTGACAATGCCATAATGGATCATACATGATTATAAATATCTGTAATATTATTCAGCTACTGACAATGCCATAATGGATCATACATGATTATAAATATCTGTAATATTATTCAGCTACTGACAATGCCATAATGGATCATACATGATTATAAATATCGTATATTATTCAGCTACTGACAATGCCATAATGGATCATACATGATTATTATAATATCTGTAATATTATTCAGCTACTGACAATGCCATAAATGGATCATACGTGATTATAAATATCTGTAAAATATTATTCAGCTACTGACAATGCCATAATGGATCATACGTGATTATAAATTATCTGTATATTATTCAGCTACTGACAATTTGCCATAATGGATCGCATACGTGATTATAAATATCTGTGATATCATTCAGCTACTGACAATGCCATAAAATTAATGGCTCAACGATGATTATAAATATCTGTATTGTAGTCATTGAGGATGATATTGTGTGCACGTACTGGGGCTTGTTGTCTGAATCATGAGTCATGGGTATGGTGTCGTAGGGTAATACTTGATGCTGGTGATACGTATATAACCATGCGTGTGTTCACCACGTGTTTACTACGTGTCATCAAACGTGTTTACTTACGTGTTTAGCACATGTTTACTGTGTGTTTTTGCAGGTGAACATCTGCATACTGGCAGGCGTCTATCGTCGACGGGAGATCATCTCTTTCCAAGCCCTGCGACCATATCAAGGACGTCACGTGCGTGTCCCTGCTCGGCGTTGCTCATCACTCCAAAATAATATTATTTTGTCTTTATAAAACTCAACTAAAGCTAATCTAACTTAATAAACTTAGCTAAAACGAATTGAATTTTTTATATAAATGAATAAAAATACATTAAAATTGAAAAAAAATAATATAAATTTCAATTAAACTCATGAATTTCTACAGAAGCATCTTATCTGTAAAGATAACTTTAGCTGATCTGACCCACGGACGATCATTTGCAAGAGATATGCGATCGCGTCATTTCTACGACTCACCGTCCACTCGTGCGATGTGCGGGAATGGCGGCGCGGCCGTCCAATGGGAGCACTTCGCCTGGGTCAGGTGAGCGAGGTAGCAGGACATGAGAATGTGTGACTGCGTGATTGGTTTGTTCAGCTGTCCGCGGAGATCCACCATCCCCAGGCTCTCCTAATACACACACGCGCAGATTGTGAGAATTATGACCGAATCAGTAGTATAGGTGAGCTATAGGTGAGCTATAGGTGAGCTATAGGTGAGCTATAGGTAAGCTATAGGTGAGCTATAGGTGAGCTATAGGTAAGCTATAGGTGAGCTATAGGTGAGCTATAGGTAAGCTATAGGTGAGCTATAGGTAAGCTATAGGTGAGCTATAGGTGAGCTTCTCAGACTATCGTCAAACTAATTATCAGATAATGCCTCATTAAATCATCCCTCTGTTAGACAAAATTTAAGGATACTCTCCACCTTGTGCACGGGTATTGCTCTAATGAAGATTAAACGTTTATTGGCGAATGAATCGAATCAATCACTTGTTTTATTTATAGAGGAGATATATCTCTATGCTCAAGCCAAAAAATTCCAATGTTACCACACAAATTTTGAATTTTTATGTAAAAATGATATTTTGGATATTTCTCAACTACCAGAAAGAGTGAGGATACAAAATCCTTGCCACATGTTAAGCACAATATGAACAAAAATAGTGCGTCAGGATTTTTCTTTAAGTTTCATATTTACCTAGAAAAATGGAAAAAAACTACTCAAAAATCAAGTTGTGTTAGAATTGAAAATTTTTGCGAATAAAGAAGCATAACCAATAAAATACGGCACTTAATAACAATCCTTACCACACCTGTACTCTCTCACCTGTGTACATATCTTACCACACCTGCACTCTCTCACCTGTGTACATATCTTACCACACCTGTACTCTCTCACCTGTGTACATATCTTACCACACCTGTACTCTCTCACCTGTGTACATATCTTACCACACCTGTACTCTCTCACCTGTGATGAAACAGCTGACATGTACGACACATCGGACAACGACGCTGAGCTCAGACTCGGCCGCACTCGCACGCCCTCTGGTGTCTCGCCGCGGCTCGGCATCCGCCTCTCGGGGGCGCCACCGGCTCCTCTGCTCGCGGTCCTCTCCGTCGGCGCGACGGGAATCTCCTCCTGGCTGTGACCTTGGTGAAGGTCGGAGGAATCTGGAAGCGTGTGAGAGACGTGAGGAGAGCAGAGATCGTGACGGTGGGGGAAGTGTACCGCGCTGTACCCTACCCTGTCACTCCCTGCCACTGCACGACCCAATTTACCCTGCAGGCTTGATATCCAGATTTAGAAACTGTCTGGACGGGAATACAATGAGCTCACAATCACACTGACACAACATTTAGAAGCTTTTCATGTCTAGAAGCTGCTTCCTTATAGCAAAGCAACAATATTTTATTGCACCTTGTTTTCTTATAAACATTATACACATTTACTTACTATCAACCTGTCCAATTATTTTTATAAAAATTAAATGGTGAAAAGTTCTACTAAAGCACTACAGATGGCAGCACCTGACATGTACTCGGAGTCGCTGTAGACGGACATTTCCTCGTCTGCCGACACGTACTCCTCCGTCATCGCCGACGTTGCCGAGTCTATAGACTGCAGACGACTGATGAATCGCGGTGAGCGGCCCCCACTCACGCGTCCCAGCTCCACACTGTCAGGCCCATCTATAACCTACCGAGTCGAGTTATCGAGGAGAGATAACGATATATTTAATATCGAAGATTTTCACATCGAAGAAATATAAAATATATAGGAATATATAGGAATAAATGCCATCGATACAGTGTAACATCGGTGGTGTTCTATTACCACAGATATATAGAAGAGGTGCTATGATGACAACTTGATAAATAATATAAATATATAAATATAATATAAATGATAAATTTGATATAATTTTGTGAATTTATATGACCGATACAGTGTAACATCGGTGGTGTTCTATTACCACAGATATATAGTAGAGGTGCTACGATGACAACTTGATAAATAATATATATATATAAACAAAGTATTGTGTGTGTAATATGTATATGCACGCGGCTACCGATCATTACACATGTTTGATTCATGTCTATTCCTTGATGTTTCAGGGGTCTTAACAAGCAAGGATATCAATGTCAAGGTAAGCCCTGTGTAACTGACAACCCTGTATTGAGATTAATGTTAACACTCCGTTCACTGCACTAGCTATCAGGTTTGGACTGAATGTACTATTAGTGAGCGGTGGTGACTTAAAACTATGCTATCGATGGATAGATGTACGCGGCAAGGAGGCCAGCATAAGATCATGCGATATCTCGATAGGTCGCTCTCACTCTTTCCCTCTCGTTCTGCCTTTCTCTGTCTTTCTTCTCTCCCATTAACTCTTTTCAACGACGCTCCGTGTCGTTTTTGATCAATAAGAATATCAACTACAATCTCTACCTATCAACTCTAAACTCTAACTAATAATTTTTATAAACATTACAAAACATTGTAAACATTAGGCGAGACTGTGACACAATGTAACGATGTTGCTCGCTGCGTTCGTAGCGGTCTGCTTAGATGCCGTAACTAATTAGGTAATTAGGTGGAGTCACTAATGAGCAGCTACTGAATTCGCGCGCCAATAGTTAAAAATAGCAATGATTGCGTGAAGTCTCGGGCATGGTACGCGTAGCGGTTAGGAAATCTGAGAGGATGAGGATGAGGATGAGGATGAGGATGAGGATGAAGATAAGGATGAGGATGAGGATGAGGATGAGGATGAGAGTAAGAATAAGAATAACGATTAGAAAATCTCAGAAGTAAAAGATGAGGATGAGGACAAGGGTGGGCGTGAGGATAAAAGTAAGGATAAGGATAGAGGTTAAAAAGTCTGCGAGGTAACTAACAGTCTATAAGTCTGTTATAGACTGAAATAACAGACTATAAGTCTAACAGGATCAGCATGACGATGAAAATGACAGTAAGAATCAGGATAGCAGTTGGGAAGTAGCGAGTAAGGTTCGATGATAAGAATGCTGATAAGGACAAAGGCAAGGGTAAAGGTATAATAATGGTAGGGGTGAGGGTAGGGACAAGGGTATAGATATAAATTAGGGTATGCGATAGTATGATTGCGATTGGTGATCTTACAGAGACAGGTACTAGCGGTACTCCTTTCTACTTGGACTGTCCTTAAGTAGCTCATGTTTGTGGTAGCACGGCCCAGCATTACGCAGTACCATATTAGGGTAATATGTAACAGTAAACCATAACCCAGCGTTACAGGTGGGTGAAGCGTTGTGTCGGTAGGTTGAAATGAAAACTTTCATCTTTCATCGGTAGGAGACATTGTTTTTTTTTCAACTCGCAGCTCATAGGCATGAGAGTCATAGAGGCATGTCCAACGAACTGATCGATCAACGTCGTGTACATGTACAGCGTGCGTGCGTGTTTACATGTAGATATACAAGCGAGTGTGCGTGTGTACATGTACAAGCGAGCGTATCGTGTACATGCACAAAGCGAGCGTGCGTGTGTACATGTAGATATACAAGCGAGTGTGCGTGTGTACATGTACAAGCGAGGGTGCGTGTGTACATGTACAGCGAGCGTGCGTGTGTACATGTAAAAGCGAGAGCGGTACGTGTGTACCTGTGTACAAGCGAGGTCGTCGCGTGTGTAACATGTACAAGCA